CTGTCTGTCCGGGGTGGGGGTCGGGACCCTTTAAGCACAGCCCTCGGCTAGCCTGAGACAGCAGCTCCACGCTCTAAGTCCTCCTCTGATGCTCTGCCGGCACTGCTTCCGGCCATCCTTAACCCCGCTTCAGGGTCCACTTAATGTGGACGCGCTAGTTCGAATTCGCAAAACGCTAATTCGAACTAGTTTTTAGTTCTAGATGCGTTAGTTCGAATTAGCTTAGTTTGAATTAACTAATTCGAACTAAGTTAGTTCGAATTAGCGCTGTAGTGTGGACATACCCTTACTTCCTGATAACTGTCACATGATGAGTCAGCATTACAAAAAGAACTGTCAGAGAATTAATTGACTGTTAGAATCATACTATGTTGTATGTGTTTTATTTTCAATTATGCTGCATAAAGGACAATTGTACATCTACTAATGCAGAACAATGCTGCTTTGTTTTCTGAATGATGGCAGGTGTGATGAAACAAAGAGCTCTTTTGATGATATTTGGTGCTAAGTCTCCAAGTATAAATCATCTCTGAATTATCGGTTTCAAAAGTTAATCCACAATGTTCTATAGTTTCCTCGAATCACTTTTGTTTCTGTGAAGAAGGGAAAATAGAATGTGAGGAGGAACCTCCAGCACTTACTACTGTCATTTTATCTAAGCAGAAGGATGTGGTCAATTTGGGGGACATAAGAGTTTTCTAAACCCTTTGCTTGCATTTTCCGGCTGGAAATTCTTTACAGGCTCTCAATTCCCACATCTCAACTTTTCACTAATAAAAAACAAAAAGGGAACTTGCCTTTATCTGAGAAAGTCAAACTGTATAGGCAGAAATAGATGTCTTGTGCTATAATTGTGTATTGAGAGGAGTCTCACCAGGAGAAGGAAAAGTTACACTCTAAGCCTGGTTTCTCAAAGGTGGCCACCATGGGCAGATTTTCTTGCCCCGAGCACTGATGAGCTGGGGGAGTAAAGCAGTGGACAAAGCTGGAGTAGGAAGTCAGTGAGTTCCCCATCCAGGCCCACTGACATGGGGCCAAAGGAAGTAATTTCCCCAGCACCCAGTGATTCAAAGGGGTCCACAGCTCCTGAATGCCACCACTGCTACTGCTGCAGCAGCTGCAGCCAGAACCCTGGGCCCTTTAAATCACCACGGGGGTGCTGCACTGCACATTCCACACAGATCTGAGGGATGGTGGGGGGTGGGGCAATGCCATGCTCCAGGTGGCTTGCAGAGCTGGCTGCCCTGGCTCTGCCTCTTATACCAGAGGCCCCACTCCTTCCAAGCCCCCACCACCACCTTGCCCAGGGCTGGTGGGGCCAGGCTTCAGCCCTAGGGTGGTGAGTTGTAGGCTCCAGACATGGGGCTTCACACTCCATTCCCTGGCCATGTGGTGGTAGGCTCTGGACCCACATACTACCACCAAGCTCAGTACCCTGGGCCTTTGCTGCCTCCCTCAGTGCCCCTGTCCCCCGCTGTTCCCGTATGCACACATAGGGTTACTAGGTAGCTTCAGAAAAAATACCAGACACACTTGATTGGGGGGAGAGACCAGCCGGGAGGGAAGTGGGGCAGGCCGGGAGGAAGGGGGGGGGGGGAAGGGGA